CCTAAACCATTTAACTACAAAAGTGCAACTTTTTTAAAAAATGAAAGTAAATGTCTAGTTACTTCTAGCTTTAAACTTGGCAAATGTTGGCATTTCTGGCAGTCTGTGTGGCTCCCAGAGGGTCTTGGGAAGCATAGCATTGGCCTCCAGACCCATCAAAATTGCTCATTCTGGTGTATAGTCACAGTTCTGCTCTTAACACTTCAATTTGTGGCATTAGAACTGGAAAAACTATTATGCTAAATAATAATACTCATCATTATCATCATCTACAGAATACTTCTATTGTCAAATGGATTATAATATAATCTGGGAATTTCTCACTCTGTGGACTAAAATCCTTTAAAATTCCCTAGAATTCAGAACAAAATGGTACAAAATAGATATATGATATTGCACAGAAGTATTTGTAATCTTAGCCTAATTAGTGCTGCACATCAATAATACATCACCCATGAAATCTGTTAAAACAAACATAAATATACTTTATTGGAAGGGTTTCATGCTCTGCAGTTTGGCCCCGTGTAATCACACATGTAGAAGTGGCTAGCATTCAAATGAGATGGCTGTGTAACAGAAATGGTTTGCAAACTCCTCAAACAAAAGAAAAATGTATGCATGACTTCCCAGGATACCTGCAGTTCACATCATTTTCCATGTAATGTTTTCCAACTTATCTTCCACCTATTCCTTGCACATTTCTGTTAATATGATGGTGATCGTGAAGTGGTGGGGGGTAGAAGGATAAGGATCAACTCTTCTGCTGTGACCTTAGCTTTTAATATTTTAGAAGGCTGGCTTTGTGTGTTCATAGTTTCCTTGTTCACTAGGCTTTGGAGTTTCTTAGGTTTATTACTATATCTTGACTCATCACTGTTCTACAAAATAAAATGGTGACATTATGGTGCAGGATTCCCACTCAGAGAATGAGTGCAAAGGATTCAATAGTGCTTTCTTACTTTTAACTAGCCAGCTTCCTCACACTGAACTTCACTCTGGGCTTAGACTACCATCTTTCTGAATGCCTGGCTCAAGTGAAAATGGCCTGAATTGCCAATATTTCCCACTCTGTTGAGCCTCTCCAGTGGTGCAGGAACACCATGAAAAGGAGAAGCATTTGCTTCAGGCCAAAAATAGTCATTGTAGGATTCACAGTCTTCACTGGAGTTTAGAAAGGACAGACTGGATGGAAGGATCCCTAAGCCCTCTGACCTCCTCCAGCCCTTGTTGAAGCAAGTCGGAGCTTTCCATGGTACAGGTTTTTCTCTTGGCTTCTGGCTGCATATAGCCCAGAGCAATGCCTAAGCATGTTTGTGTGACTCCATGAGAAAGCAACTTATTTCTCAAAATATACATACCTGCAAGCCTGTATGTGCTAAAGAATAGTTGCAGTGGCAACTAGAAAGAATACATTCCCCAGTAGCTCTCATAAGGTGTATGTGCTAAAGAATAGTTGCAGTGGCAGAGGTGCGTTGTTTGATGGAAGAGAGGGGTGTTTCATGACATGTACATGTGTGTGCTGTATTATTTCTAGGTTTAGAAAGAATACATTCCCCAGTAGTTCTCATAAGCCTAACATTCTCCCACCCATCTGAATGACTTTACTCCCTATGTTTTCTCTCTGCATGCTAGAAGCTCACTCTGTGTGTGCTGCCAGCCAGCTGCTAGTGCTGCCACCTTCAGGGTTCAGCCCTGTCAGCTGCAGATGGAAATTTTCACTCTCCAGATTTTCCAAGCCCATTCCAAAACTGCAACAAAGTTAGCTCCTTTCCTCCTTCATACAACCAATTCAGTGTTCTACTCCAATGTCCCCTGTATTCCCACCTCTTGCTAGGTGGGAAATTCCACAATAAGTGCCACTACAACGGGTTCTGCTATTACCACAGTTAAATATGAAATCATATGCCTGAGCATCATCCCAAGTCATGTAGCATGTCCAGTAAATGTTACCACTGGCTATGGAGCCAAGCAGGTTTCTATTGCTCCATCATTCAGTTGAGTCAACACTACACTGCCTGGATTGCAGATGCTTTTAGTGCCTCTTGTAAGGCACATTGAACTTCCTTTTGACCAACATGCTGGGTTGTTGTAAGTCATTTGCATGGCACCACGGGTGCCGCACATCCCCTACCGCACTCCCTGCCAGCCCCCCCACTCACCTGCCAGCATGCGCTACTTATTCCCTCACATCACATGATCTTCCAGTCCCAGCAGAAGCATGGACTTCCTTTCTCTGCCTCCTCCAGCAGCTGCCCACTCACGGGCAGCACTGCAGGAATCCCTGCCCTGCCTCCTCATCTGAGTAGGCAGCTGCTGGAGGAGGTGGAGAAGGGAAGTCCATGCTCTTGCTGGGACTTGGAACTCATGTGATGGGGAGGGAATGAGCAGCTTGCACTGACAGGTGAGTGGGGGAGCCAGCAGGGGGGTAGGGAACATGTGGCACCTTTGGTGCTGCACTGACAACTTATGATGACCCGGCACAAAGTGCTTCGTGCCCATCTCTAATTATAAGTCAAATGAAATAAGTCTGAACCTGATGTATTCTTGAAGACCTCACAACTCAAACTGCAACTCCCTTCTCTTCTCATAGAGAAAGAGTTCAAATCATATAGTTATCACTACCTTTTCTGATTATCTGATATAGGGGAAGATGCCTTGTCTAGTACTACCATACACCCTCTATACAATTATCTTCTCTATATAACTTCTGTTTTTATTCCTACTAATATCCTTCTGAAGCATTTGGTTGAAATAACACTCACCTTGTTCGCCATCATAGACAAAACTTATTCTTAGTCTTCTTCAAAGCCATGTAGTTTTCAAGTTAAGTTGCATTCTTTTCCTCCTCTTGCTCCTTCTCCTCCTGACAGCATCTTTAAAACCTATGTGATGAACAGAAATTCTATGCATGAAGGCTTTTTCCACATTCATCTAGAATGGTGGGGAAAGCATCATGTGCAGAAATTCTAATTCACATAGCTTTTCAGGTGTCTCAGGCAAGAGAATTGTAGCAAACATAGCAACAAATTTATTAGATGTAGCATATACTTAGGGTCACCGCTCTGATTCTTTCAGAATTAACACAAAATGCAAACATCTACCTTTATTTGTCTACAGATATGTTGCAATATACAGCACTACACATCTGGGGGCATCTTCATGATATTTCTAAAGAAATTAGAAGAATGTAGCTTCTCTGGCCTGCTAATAGAGCTGTACTGCTTACAAATAACTAGGCCAGTCCAAAATAGGTGCATTCAACTAGGCACTTATTATTGGCCCAGATGGTATTTTCCAATGACTTAGAAGAATCAAATTCTGCTCCCTTCCCAGACAGCTTGTAAGAGAGAAATCTGTATAGAGATTAAACAGCGAAAGCATCCTCCTACATTTATGGCATGTAGTCAGCCGCCTTGGCATCCTCTGAATGAGGTCTGTGGCTTAGGTGCATGACTAGGTGAATCAGAACAAAATATAGAACCAACACAAGATATACAGGTCCTGGCAGGATATCAAAGTGAGCACAGTGCCAGAACTCAGTCCTCTTGCTTAGGGTTGCCAAATGCCAATGTTTTGATTTAATTCTTTGTCTTCTGTTTCCCCCATGCAACTGGACCGGGAACAAAATTGCCATTGGAGTCTGAATATACCTGATCCTTCAGATATGTAATAAGGATCCTATTGGTACAGATGCCCATTTGTTTTCCTGCCATTAGAATAAAACCTACTTGGTCTCTGTGAACCACCCTGAAACATTCCAGTGCAGATATGGACTGACACATGTATATTGGTTTTCTGTTGGGCAGGTTAACTGTCATGGTTTTGTGCAAAGAATCCAGGGAATTGTAGTTTGGAAAAAAGAGATTCCATGCATAGAACTGCACCTCCCATGTTGCCCTGAGGCAAAAGGATGATTGTGAAAGCACTTTAAGGAGTATAGGATGCACAGATATCAATTGTCCAGTGTCACCTCCTGTCATTATGAAGAGAGAGAATGTGTGTTAAGCGAAGAGGAAATGGAGAACAGTGTGCTTTGAACAGATACTCTGTACTGACTCTATGTTAGTTCTCATTGGCTAAAGCTAAATTGGTCCCAGGAGGGTATAAACTGAATGTGAATTACCTTCCTGAACACATTTGCTCCCTCCTGTTTTGGAGCAGAAGGCCCCAATGTCACGAGACCTACAGCTTAGAGAGAAAACTTCCCTGTCAGCTGATATTGAAAATCCACACAGCCAAATAGACCATGCTGGCATATTGGCGTGACTACTAATATTCAAAATGTATGGTTTCAGTTGAATCCAGCAGTTTAAATGCTGAGATACACATACACAGAGACATGCACACTTCCTTCTGTCACTCAAGGTCTCAAAGTGCTATAATGGAGAATGTCAAGGTGTGTAACTTGATGATACGAAAGTGTAGGTCAAGTCAGAAGTTAGAGTTAGCACAAAATTAGAAGAAGAAAATGCTGGCATGTTTCGGCTGCACAGTCCCCTAAGCAATCAAAATGCAAGTTACAGGAAATTAGAATAACATTGCAATCACACTGTTTTTAAGATGTAAGGAGCTGCTGCTTCTAAAAAGAGGCTCAGTGTAGCATCCAGCTCAACCTTCAGTATTAGTATTTAATTGTAGTGACATAATTGTAATACATTATTTTGCAATAGCAGTTATTATTGTTACTACTAGTATAGCTGAACACTAAGCCTAACATGGTAATAACAATAACACACTTATTTCTTGCTGTTGTATCATCACCATACTTCTCTAATCTACAAGTACTGGTGTACAAGCTTCAACTATCTCTGTTTGCAAATACTAAACCATAGATCCAAGTCCGTTTGTCTCAACCTGTTTCACTTTGGAAAAATGTAGATAAATGTGGATAAAGATAAATACAGCAGGGTAACTTACACTGCATAAGGCTAATGACATCATCAACTGCAGCATGTTTCCAGAAATTAAATATTTCCTATTTCTTCCCCAATGGCCTCAAGACTTCCACAGGATCCCCTTCAGCATGAGGAAGCTGTCAGAACCATGGGATAAAGGGAAATTCTGAACTTTTTGAAAATCACTGCTGCCAGCAAAATCATTGATGATGATTCTCTGGGATTAAAGACTCCTGTCCTATAGCCTCCTACAGGTTCCTTGTGATGAAATGGATTTTGTATGAACCCCAGGACCTTTAAGGAGAAATTGGAAATGTTTTATTTTCCAAAAAAAATGCACATCTGATAATGCCATGAGCCATATGAATGTAAACTATGCTTCTGGATTTTACTCACTACTGCAGAAATGGGAAATGTGTGATCTTTGATGTGTTGTTGGAGTGTACTGCAACTGCTATCATCTTTTACATCCCATTCCATATCCTTCCAGTAGCAGGTCCCAGTATGCCAGCTAAACATCACTGCATAACAAATAGTTTGGTTTCACCCAATCACCCAGATTCTCAACCCCTGCACATTTGGGTTGCGACCAGATCTTGAGATGCCTGGGACAACAATTAAAGTGTTGTTTGTGTTCCATCTCCTCAACAATATCTCCTCCTTCTCATGTGCACTATGGGATCAGAGGGTGAAATTGTGTTTGGGGGTTCAGATCACACTTCTGCCTTTGGGGCTTGAGCTGGTTGCTTGTCCTTTTGACTCACCAGCATCCCCGTGTGTGATATGGGTATTTTGCAACTGGTTGAACCCACAACAACAGTCATTTTGTCAAGAGGCACTCCATAGCTGCACTCATCACATTTTCTCCAAAGTCTCAATAAACTTACTAGCCCAGAAAGGTTGGAAACCCATCTCTTAAGGAGAGGATCTGTTGTGATCCATTCTAAACCCAATCTGCTGAGGTATTTCCATATAATAACATTGCAGCACTCTAGCAATGTGCCAGTACCCAATTACAGGATTCAAATTCCTAAGATACAACACACCATTTATATCAAATTTATGTCCTCATAATTTTCAACCATAATTAGTCTGAACACGTTTTGGGAAAGTCACATGAAAGTTTAAAAGGCTGGGGGGAAAAAAGATGAGCAAACTATATTTTACCTTCCCCAGCTCCAAAATTTCTCCCCATCCCTCAGCCCCAGGACAGTCTTGCAGTGTGAAATTGCTTCAAACCCAGGGAGCAGCTGAGAGCTAAACAAGCAAGGTGCTGCCTGGGAAAAATTCAGAAGTTGGGGAGCCTCCTCCTTCTTTGTGAACATTGCGAGCTCCTTTTCTTCTTCACATTGAACAGAGCTGCCATCCAGAAAGGCAGGGACTTTACCAGTCACACAGTTCAGCCACTAATTAAAATGTGTGTGTATCTTGTCAACCATCTGTTTGGATTATTACCAAGGAGTATTCCCCCTGTTTCTCCCTGATCTTGATGGCAAAAGATGTCTGAAGCAGAGGGGTGTAACCAGCAATGTGTTCACACACTGCCTGCTCTTTGGCCCCTCCCCCCTCCGTAGACTCATCATCTCCCCAGGCAGAACTCTATATTCATATTGGTTGTTAAGTACCAACTGGCATGGCGCCAGATTTGGGGCTGGGCTTTCCTGGCATTCAAAGTGATGCAGGGCTGGAACCTGCTTTTCACCATCTCAGAGGGTGAGGACAGCGTAGGCTAGTGCCTGCTTGCTCCCGCACAGCTATTACACATGAAATTCTCATCTGCGCCTGTCAATAGACAAGACCAAATACTCAGCCCCTTGCTGTAAAGTCTGGAGCAGACTTTTGTTTCCATTGTTATTTTTCTGCATTTGGAGTCAGGCCGTGGGGAAAGGGGTGGCGCTGAAGCTTCTAGAGGTGAGAGAACAGGCAGATGAGCACATCTTGTCTCAAATGTGCAATCTTGGTCCCCCGCGGGTGGGGAGTGTGGCTGGAGAAGCTAGGTTTCCTTTGAGAGCAACGTTCTCATGCTGTACTTGCCTTAAGGAAAGATAATCCATTGGCTGAAAAGACAGCTTGTCACAGAGAGATCCAGGCTAAGCTGAAAACTAGAGGTGGACAAGTTTTTAAAAGAAGCAAAACAAGTGAGAGTAAAGAACTTTTCCAAGCACACCCACAAAAGGTACCTATTAAAAGCTTTTTCACAGGATAGCCTACATAGCATTGTGTCCAAAGATGGGAATAGAAAAGGTGTCCTTGTTCCATCACCCAAAGTGACCTTAAAGAAAATGAGAATAGAAATGTTGGTTACCAAGCATGAAATCTGTGTGGCCAAAAAAGGAAAGATCAGATCCACTAGTTGAATCTCTGCGCTCTTCCTAGAAAGTAAAGAAACCCACATTTTATATATTCTGCTCTTGTTTTCCATATTACAACTCCCATAAGTTTCTTTTTTTTATAATTGACCAAAGTGTTTTTGTGCTCCGTTGTAAAAGGAAGGATGGCCAAATTTGCCGTTATATATGTCTATTTATTTATAAATATAAGCACATGTACAATTTAAAATCTGAAAACCATATTTGAAATCCAATTAAATCTGAGAACAAATTAACAACGATCAGGCAATCCATGCTCTGGTTTCCATAAACATTATTTTTTTAAAAAAATATATATATATAAACAATCAGGCAACAGAAGAAGAAATTTGTTTGGTTCCTCCCCCCAAACAAAAAACTGCATTGTTAAACCTTTTACACCTCATTCAAGATTTAAAAGACAGGAGGCCAAAAGAACCTCTTTAGGATGGGAGTTCCATAATCTGTGTGGCACCGCTACAACGTGTTTACTGTGCCCCAGACAATCAAAAGGATGTGGAACAAGATTAGCAGGTTGAAGCAATGGCTGAGCAGCTTTGTCTGGAGGAGGTGATGCTTCCTTTAAGTACTCATCTGAGTTTAGAAGGGTTCTTCTGCACAGTCATTCATTTGAAAGTTTCACAGCTCAATTCTATGTAAGTTTTCCTTGCGGGAACTCCTAGGGACTTACTCCCAAACAAACATATAAAGATTGCACGCAAGTCCATGCAGTTTTAAATCTAAGCATGGTAACTGAGGTATTAAATTTGACTTAATGTCATCAGCCCTTGCATTCCATAAAAATATTTGAAGATGAGATAATCATTAAATTGACTGTAATTGGAAGGAAATACAAATAAAAATGTTGTTTCCTGCCGTGTTGACATGAGGAGTTTCACTGTTTCTGGCCAAAATATTGCAATGATAATCCAACGTCATTCTATTAGTACTAAAGTAATGGAGCCTATATAAGTGTAAAGTGTTTTTCTCTTTAACCCTAATATCAGCAATGCACCCTTCATTGTCTCTAGTCCTTTTGCTTATTTATTTATTATATCTACAGTATATCTTGCCTTTTATTCAGTGAGCCCAAGGTGCTACAGATGGCTCTCCTTCTTCCTGTTTTATCTTTGCAACAATCCTGTGATTTAGGTCAGGTTGATAGTGAGTGGCCCACAGTCGTCCCTTGAGTTTCATGGCACTCTCATCTAGCATCTCCCAACTCCCTTCAAGTGCAACATGGTAACAGCCACACCACACAACTTTACATCTGTTCTCTATGCCAGTGGTTCTCAAACCTGGGTCCCCAGATGTTCTTGCACTGAAATTCTCAGAAGCCTTCACCACTTGTTCTGCTGGCTAGGATTTCTGGGAGTTGCAGTCCAAGAACATCTGGAGACCCAAGTTTGAGAACCACTGGTCTATGCCAAGCAAGCCATTTTCCAAGAAGCTTCATTAAACGCACAAGGGCTTCTGCTCTTTCCTTCATAAAGAATCTAAGCATCCTGAGTCACCCATTGGGCTTCATTTTCTTAAGGTTCTGAACCTTGGATGTCTTCAGTCATAGGCCAACACAATGCCAGTCCGCATATCAGAATCACACAACCCAACTCAGGCACAGTGTATTTCTCAGCTCCTTTGCCATTTACTGTTCGCCTCTGCTCTTCTGTAGCCACATGCCTTCTTCCTACTGTCTGGTCTTCCTTGGTAGCAGCTCAGCAGACGTGTGTGTGTGTGTGTGTGTGTGTGTGTGTGTGTGTGTGTGTGTGTGTGTGTGTGTGTGTGTGAG